AAAAATCTGGTATTCCGACAAGGCAACTATCTAATAACTGGCTGATTTAAGGATAAATAAAACAAAAGATTCCTAAGCTCGAAAACAAAGACAACATTTGCCTCTAACATCGGTGGTAAAAAAAAGGAGCGCGTACTATCCTAGACGCAAAGATGAGCCGAGGCCTTTACGACTTACTTGTCGTCATCACATATCTGAAATAATGCTCTCACCAAGTCCTCCTGAGATTTCATTATTCAAGAGATAAAAAGATGATTGGAATACATTTCCAAAATATCCCTACGATTGCCTTGTCTTCAAAACGAGTGCGGAATAGTTTGCCAATAGTATGCACTCTTGAGAATATTACGACTGCTTAAGCCGGAGAAAAATGGAACTCAACGAAGATTCGTTCCGGCCGATAATATTACTGCTGTGAAACAAAATGAGGACTAGGTCGGTAACGCTGTTTGCGTTGAACGGCGAACGTTATATGTGGTTTTAACAAGATGACACCACTTACCACACAGCGAAAGGAACAATGACTCAATTGCGAACGAAGTTCCTAGGACGCATTATCTCACGAAACAACCAGGTCGAATGGTCGTCGATATCTTGCGATTTGATCCCATTGGACCTCTTTTTCTGAGGCCACGAATAAAGTATGGTCTATGCCAATGAGACCGAGACGAATCCAGAGTTGAAAAACGAAATCATATGCTTTATAATAGATACGAAGTAGTAGGGATCATAATTTGGCACTAATAAGGGATAATTTGGTGACCGTTTGAAGACTTTTCGGAGATTTATTTTAAACCGTTTCGGGCTTGTTCAGGACTATTTTCGGATCATTTTGAGACCTATTCAGGACTATTTCGGGTTCATGTTGGGCCTAGTTTAGGATCATTTATTGACAGTTCACGAATATTTCGGGAGCATTTCGGGACTAGTTCGGAAATATTTCAGGAAAATGTCGTGATTAGTTAGGGACCATTTCAAGACTTGTTCGATATCCTCTCCGAACAAGTTACCGACTTTATCAGAACGTAGGTCTTGAACTATTCCCGAAGTGGTTTTGAAAAAGTCATTTATTGGTCCCGACAAAATGAATAATATAATATGAGATTAATGTTTAATTTCTAACCTAACGATTTATGTTTATAAATGAGTCGCTTAATGCTTCGCCAAGCCGTACACGGATGTTTAAACATCAAATTTCATGAGCACCTGGTACTCAAGCCTTTTTTTCGCCATATACATAAGTGTGGACCATCATCACTAAATGAGAGTTCTCTACACGAAATCGATTGTGAATAGCTTAACAATTGAAAAGGTCTAAGTTTGACCATCTAAAAGCCCTAACAAGACACTAAACATTCTAATAAATCAACTGGTAGGTACCGACTAGCCCCTTAGTTAGTTTGAGTTAGTGTGACGGCCTACTAGTTCGACAATTCTTAACAAATTTCGAGTATGCCGAAAATTTTCAATGTCAAGTACACGGTCTTCTTGCGAACCTTGGATAATTTTTACCTAAGTTATTGCGTATACGGAGGAATGGACAGACAGATATGAGTTCATCTATTTTTTCTTCATTATGAACAATGAAAATATTGAAAATGCGAAACATGCGCATAGTTCATAGAAGTACATATGTTTATGTGTGTAATATTCCCATGTTTGGATTCGACTGATAATAAGTAGATCGATATGAAAGATATGGTAAAATATCAATTTGTAAAATTTCGATAATTGTCATGTGCACATTTGCGGACTTACACACATACATACCTAAATATGTATATGTTTTTGTATAAATAGGTACATGCATATAAATTAGGGAAAATTTTAGTTAATATGAATACATTCGATGCTTTTTAATATGAGTAACCAATGCATTCGTGCGACAGTACATTGGCAATCACAAATGAACAGAGATTCCTTTAAGCTGGAAAAGTGAAGAATGTTTGTGACGCATGTTGGAGACGATTCACAGCAGGGAAGTAAAACAAAAATAAAGATAGCTTAAAGAGGTTCGTGGTAGAACTTTTGTCGCTGCCTTAAAACGATTTCTGAGACTTCGGAAGATATTAGCTGCGGCAAACCCTTCAACGAACAAGAAATATAAATGTGAATGAACCAAAGTCAATTAGAAAACGCTGAGGGCGCTGATTTCCTAGCGTGTTCTGGTACCACTGAACATCTTGCCGTAACAGGGGATATTGCAGTCCAAGATTTTAAATTCTGATTTTATTGTTGAAGTACTCTTGCGAATGGCAAGTACTGTTCTAAAACCGAGACTTTTAAAATTTTTCAAAAACTTCGAAAATCATTTGAGCGCCACGAAACTAGAGGGTTCAGGATTAGATTCCTGCAGGATAATTTGAGTTACCGTCACAGGACAGTAGCACGAAATGTTTAAGCCGCAGCCACATAAGAGGTTGTTCCATTCCTGCCTTCGATTTACTGGATACAAAAGTGGAATACCCTTCTCCGCACCAATTCCAGCCACGCACGCACTCGGAGTAACAGCGGTAACACCCTTTCGGGTATCATCGTCACGTTTCGAAAGAACAACAGGACAAGCAAAGCCTGTATTTCCCAAGAGAACACTCCTCACCGTGGAAGTAACCTCCGTGAACGCAGGCCCGGCTGCAAGGTTTGGGGGTGGAAAATCATCCGGATTTGCAGCAGG